ATGAGATCTTGATTGGGTCTATCATTCATTCCCCCACCATTCGCTTTAAGTGAAAGATGATGAAATTCTCCATTTTAAATATCAAACCCTTCCAAATTCAAACCCAATTTCCAAATCTAAACTATGCTACTACTATATGCCAGATAACACGTATTCTCTACGCATCTGATTGATGACTAGCCTTAATCGAAAGTTCTCTCTCGTGATCGAGAGGGGTAATTAACTATAGGGTCTTGTGCCTATAGGAAACCAGAACTCAGATCATAAAGTCCTCACAAAATGAGGGGGAAATCTCTGGGTAGTGTCTTATCTACAAACCCATCTGCCTTCCAAAATTTACCCCGGAACCTATTCACTTAAAACTCCCTCGCCGAATAAAAAGAAAAGCGCGGCGGGGAGGCCGGGGCCGAATTTTCGGAGCCCACAAAAGTTTAGTGTCAATGGTGCCTAAACCATGAAGAGGCGGTTCAACATGCTAGTTACTGGCTCCTGCAATTGTATAGGATGCTATTATTAAATTGTTCGATATACATGCATAACTTTACTGGTGGGAAATGAGTTAGGAAACTTCTTGTTGATAGAAGATGAAGCTCTTTTTCTTTTTGATGTTATTAAACCCCTTGAATAATATTCAAGTTCTCGACCAAGTTACAGTACCGTTTCACCAACCATCAAGGAGGTTGTGATATCTTGTGTTTCAATAGTCTTCATTTTCTTCTCTTTCTTATTAATGAAATGATAAGGGCGCACAAAGGAAAACTACAAAGAAGGGATTAAGTAGTTAAGAGATAGTAAAGAATAATTAAACCCTTTTTTCTCTTAAACTGGAATGGAAACATGTGTTGGAGCAGCCCAACAGGATGTAAATGTGATGCACATAAGTTAACACAAACAATTAATAATGTAAAAGCATGAAATGAGGCATTGCCCTGTGAAACTGGCAAGATCTTGCATGCATTCCAGTAGGGAATTTCCATCAAATCATATGGTTGTTATTCTTAGATTTTGAGTTTTTGAATCAAGCAACATATCACATTCCCATGCGAGTTAATAATTTGCCTCCAACTTGGTTTGTGTGAAGTACTCGTGACTATTTTTTGGTACTTTGGCTTATGAAGTTCGTTGCTTCAAAAGCACCGTTAATCAACATATTATAAAATTTAGGAGTACACTGGAGGGGATTCTGCTTATCACGTCCTAGTTAGATTTTATTTGAATGACTTCTCCTACATTCAAAAAGAATATATTAAACTCAACTGGCATAAGATTGAATTTTTTTGGTTAGATAATTACCTCGATCTATCATTATTCCAGAAAAAAAAATCTCCTCATTAGGGTATGTTTTGCTTAATTAAAATGAGAAGAGCCAGCCAATTCATTTGACAAAAAAGGAGGATAAGAGAAAAGAAGAATATGAGGATTATGAGAAGAAAAAAAATATCAAGAGAGTTAATTAATGAGGAATCAAAGAGAAACAATTTCCAATGAAGAAGAGATGGGTATCAAAGAAGCTATGATGCACAGACACGGACACGGCGACACGGATACGACACGACACGGATACGGGACATGTTAGTTATTGAAAATATAGGACACGTACACTGGTTGGACACGGGTTGGACACGGTATTATAATTTTTATATTTAAAAAATAGTGTATAAAAAATTAAAGAAGTATAATTTTAAAAATAATTTGAAAATACTAAGTCATTTAACTAGAATTTGTGCTTAAAATGATTAGTATTAGGATGTCGAGAGTCAGGCGTTGATGTCGTTTATCAATCATCGAGAGAAGAGTTGAAAATTCCTTCACTGCCAAAAAGAAATGAAATTGAGAATATTTTAGTAGTAATAGACCTAGTGAGGGGATTATGACTTTGGGCGATCAAGTCATTAATAAGAGTACACGTTTTAGATATCTTGGATCTATTGTTCAGAGTGATGGTGAAATAGATGGGGATATTATCAGCAGAATTCAAGTTGGATGGTTGAAGTGGAGGAATGCATCGGGCTTGTTATGTGATAGAAATGTACCCCTCAAACTTAAGGGAAAACTCTATAAGATGGTAGTGAGGCCTGCAATGCTTTATGGTGCCGAATGTTGGCCTTTAAAAGAGAAGCATAATACTAAGTTAAGTGTGACAGAGATGAGGATGCTCAGGTGGATGAGTGGCTTTACCCTTAGAGATAGGATACGAAATGAGCATATACGTGAAAAGGTTGGAGTAGCTCCAGTAGAAGATAAGATTAGAGAAAGTCGCCTTAGATGGTTTGGTCACATAAAACGGCGGCCTTGCGATGACCCGGTTAGGAGAGTAGAGGTATTAGATTTGACTTATGTTAAGAAAGGTAGGGGTAGACCTAAAAAGACTTGGTTAGAAAATATTAGGAATGACCTTTCTTTATTAGATTTAAACGAAAATTTGACTTTTAATAGGACACAATGGAGAAAAAGGATTCATGTAGCCGACCCCACGTAGTGGGATAAAGGCTTGATGTTGTTGTTGTTGTTGTTGTTGGGTATTAAGTGCGGACGTTGATTTGGTGTTGTGGATATGAAATAAGAAATTTAGTTTAAATCCCGTCAAATACAAGAAATTATATTTAAAAAAAATCATAAAATATTTAAAATATGTGTGTCAGACACGGGTGTCCAATTTGTATTTAATATTTTTTTAATCGGACACGTTTTCGGCGTGTCTGACACGTGTCGGAGCAGTGTCGGGCGAGTGTCGTCGGATACGGTGTCGGATATTGCACGCCTCTTTTAGGAGAAGTGTCAGTGCATCATAGCAAAGAAGTGATGAATGAGAGGAAGTATGACCGGGAGAAGAAAAGGACTAAGGGTGGAAAGAAGCCAAGCCCTTTTCTCTCCCTTTTCTCTCCTTTGTTGGTGGGAAGAGGTGCTATATGCACTACTCACCTATCGAGTAGGTAGGGGTTGCTTCAATTTGATCGTCAGGGATAAAAAAATGAGAAAGGTAGGTGAAACCTCAACCTCTTTTGGAAACTTTGCGACCCGTTAAAGTCCAAGATGTTTCGTGTGAGGTAAGGAGTTTTCCCTTCATTTGTGACTTGCCACCTCTAGATATGTTTTCTTTTTTCAGTCTTTTGCAAGTATTAAATATTAGTCTTCTCATTCTTTATTTTATTGACATTATTTCAAATAAATTAATAAAATTAATAAATATTATGATTTATAGGAAGATAAGTATTCTATATATTCAGAAAATTAAATGGATTGGAGAAAAGAATATGGGGATTAATAATTTAGGATTTAAAGTATGATATTCATGTTGGAGTTGTATTAAAAATAGTATAGGTAGGATTTTAAATAAGGGTTTGAAGGATAATGTTGTAGAAATTAATAGAATTAGTGTTAGAAATATAGCTTTAAAGAATTTTTTTTATGCTAAAAATATTAATATTGCAATTACTTATGCTCTTCAAATAGGTTTGAATATATATTTAAAAATAAAATTTTAGAATGACTTAGAAGAATTAATACAATGGATATATCTTAAAAAAATTTATTCAAGGAGAGTAAATTGATATGTTGATAGAGTGGTAGAAGAATTTATAGAAGCATTCATGGTGGTTGTATGTTTGGAACGTTTTTTCGTGACATGGAATAAGAATAATATTGATTATTTACAAAGTAGAAGTTATTAATTCAATGTAGTAGTAAGAATAATATTGTATTATTATTATTATTTGCAAAGTTGAAGTTAAATTCAATGTATTTGTAGAACTTGCTGAAGATATTTAAAATTCTGCTTGAATATATAGACCTTGCATCCAATAAAGCGCTATTAAAAATGAAATTAGAAGAGAACACTTCCCTTCACTAGGTTAATGACACCTCTAGATCACTTTATTGCATGTTTCCTTATGGGTGCATACTAGCCATGGAGGTAACACTACTAACTTCAAGAAGGAAAGAAACCTTGATGGCTTTAAAAGTAGTCACTATTATTAGAATCGATGGAGAAGCTTTTGAAACCTTCATGAACACAACACTCTGAGTAGCGGACAAAGCAATTGTTGATGCTGATGATGATGCAATTGAAACTGCTACTACAAGTGTTTTGAATACTACTGTATAAGAATTAAGCATATTTAATCGGGTTGAAAGTAAAATCACACAACGGTGACAAATTAGCAAACCGTTACTTCGCATAGTTGTTTTAGTTATTTCTGTAGCACTAATAAAAGGTGAATTATTCTCGCGAATGTTTGCATGTATTTTATGATTAAAATTCAATCTATTATCATCCTTCAATTCTCAGAATTTGAGATTTGGACCTCCAACAACGTTTTAGCCTAAGACTCGAGCATATCTGATCTACCTGAGAAATTATATCTAATTACTCTATTTGAAGGATATCTTAATCATCTTTAATAATTCTCTATTACAATTACTTTCCCAATTCCCGTGGAGTGTTCGAAAATATTAGACAGAAAGATGGGGATATGCTTTACAACAAGTTCTTGCAGGCAACTTAGGTTCCGTTTGTAACAGTTTTCTTACTACTTTCTAAAACAGCTATCTAGTACAAAAAATACTTGAAAGCAACAAAAAAATAGTAGCAAAAAACAGTAAGGCTTCGTTTGGGACGGCTTTCTTAGAAGGAAGCAGTAAGAAAGCCGTCCCAAATAAAGCCTTAATCATAGAGTATCATTTAATATTTTAATTTTAATTACTTTATTGGACTAACAATCACACTATTTCAATCGAAAACCATTGAAATAAAATTCTATTAGGATGTGTTAAAAGCCATCAGATCTATTTTGAGATTAGTGCTCTATGAATTCTTCCTATATAACATTAAGCTCAAAGAAAATTAAATATTTTTCAAGCCCATCCCTAATACAAATGGTATAAGGATACATTGACAATTGTTTGACTCTCTATGCCATTTTTTGTTCTTCAATTTTTCTTAGAAAGTTTGCTTATGGTGATGCAGTTAACTAACATTTGCTGATGCATGGTTGTGTTAGATGCTTAATCCTGCTCAAATTAGCTATGAGGAGTATGAAAGTATGAGAGATCTCATACTTCCGCTTGGCAGATCAACTGAATTCTCCATATAGAACAATATAGTGAGACTCTGTAGCTTTTGGTGATGAAACTGTACAACTGTTTAGATCAAATGTGGGAAAGTGGTTGAGCAATTTTGTGTTGTTTATTTGTATAAATTTTGTAAAACTTTGTTCTATTTTTGATAACCCTCCAAGCACCTATTTTTCTATCTGACATCAAATAGTGAGATCCAATTTGTTTAAAAAATTGCTTCATCTCTGTTAAAGAAGTTCGGTTGAAAATCTTTGGCTTAGTATGATTTGTATTTTCTATTTGTTTTTTGTGTAGAAAAAAACAGGGAATGAATTTTAGATTCTATTTGGATGAAAAAGTGGATAGTTTTGAGGATACATAGTTCAACAAACTTAATATTGCAACAAATGTATCAAGTCTTTATTCTACTACGTGGGATCTGTTATATGAATTTTCATTCTCCATTATATTTTATTATGAGTTGAATTTTCATTTAAATCTAATAAATAAAAGAATATTTTTAAAATTGACTAACCAAAAGTTTTTTAGGTATGTCTCTACTTTTTTTTTTAATACAGGTTGTATTTAATATATCTACTCTTCTAACATTTTGTGGGACTGAGCTTCCTTTTGGGATAGTTTTTTGGCCGCTTTCTAAAATAATTTTTTAGTATAGATGTTTTTTGGATTAGAAAATTTTGTATTATAAAGTTGTTTTAGAAAGCAATAAGAAAGCTGTTTGAAACGAAGCCAAAATTATGTAAGGCAACTCTCTTTAATCTAATGGCATTAGAGCAACTCTAATTTTTTCATCTAAATACTTAGTTTTGGATTCTACAAGTGTGAAATCCCTATATGAGCATCCTCATATCTATAATACTTAAATTAATTTTCTGCAAAATGGCCAACATTTTGCACCATAAATAACGAATCAAAAGTAGATTTTGTTTGGATGAAATATTGGATAGCTTTTTTGAGGATACAGAGTTCAGCATAGTTAATTTAAAAAAAAAAACTTTAATCTGAAAACAACGTTTTTTCCAGTTTTCTTCGGTTCAAACATTCAAACAAACTCAAATCAATGAAAATAAATTTATAATAAATTCATAATTGTGATTTCAGTTCATTTCACACATTTTCTTCTGTTCAGACACCGTAGCAGCTAAGAATCAAAGTGAAGAAGCTTCAATTTGGAAAAATTATTAGGTGCGGAGTGTGTATCGTCCGCACAAGCACTGATACATAGTGGTATTCAGCAGTATCCAACGGTACCGAGTGCAGGTACCTAGCGCCCAACAATGCTTGTGCGTACGATTCTCTCTGTCCGCACTCCGCACCTAATAATCTCTCCACAAAATGAGGTCTTTGTTCAGTAACAAATAGAAGCTTCTCACAATACACCTAATGCTCCATTTCTAATTGAGATGTCTTGTCTTCCTACTCAGTCCCAACATTCACTTCTGCAGTAATTGTCACACTTCCACTTTGTTCTTAGTGTTCCTTGGCCAACTGCACAATATTAGGCTTTATTTAAGGCAGCTTTTGTAGTGCTTTATAAAGTAATTTTTTAATACAAAAAATTGCTTTAGAAAGCAATAAAAAAGCTGTCCAAAATGAAATCTTAATCTATTTTGATTATGACGAATATGAGATTTTGAACATTTTTTGATTTGAAGAAGTATCTTCGGCCTTTTTTATTTTTATTTTTTTGGGATTTAGCTCAAGAAAATTTTACAATTTGGTACTGATCTGAGTTGATCCTTAACTATTGGCTGACTTGGCCTAATTTCAATTTGAGTTTAGAACCTGCTCATTAGCTACTTCTTGCTCGACCGAGCTATAATAGATGCACAATTTTCTCTATTTTTCATTTTTTTTCAAAATCAGTTAATCTATGTTAATATATTGACACTCTTTGATCCAACATATTAAGCAAATTATTTGAAAATTGATGCATATTATGATATTATTTTCATATCAATATGCTCTTTACTTGTAAATTGTAAATGCATTAATTCATGATTATATATATATATATATATATATATATATATATATGTATATATATATTTATACACACACACATACACATAAAAACAAGAATATGTTTGCGTACGAGTGACTTTGACTTCAGCTTTTTTTTCGAATATCTTTCTTTCTGTTTTGCTTTTAGATCGCAATCAAAATACCTAATTAGCCATTACTTTTTTGCTGTATAAAAAAAAATTAAAGCTGCTTTTTTACAATAGCTTTAAAAATTATTTTTTCTGTAACAGCTTTATAAAAAAACAATAAGAAAACTATCATAAATGAAGCTTTCATCTTATTCAGCTTAAGTCCTAAATGCAATTTAAACCCATATCAGCTACTAATTTCATTATCAATTAAAAATCAATCTTTTAAGTCAAATTAGTAACACCAAAACTCCAAAACATCAAATCCAATAATTCATTATAATACTTAGAAAGTAAACACATAACAATATGATCTTCTCCTCAACTACTAATCTTTGTATAGGAGAGAAACTTTGATCTTAGTAATTCAGCTTGAAAGGAGTAGCCAACTTGAGGCTGCTAATGATATCAGCCATAGAGCCAATGCTTGCAGCTATGGAAATCAAGAGGCAGAACAAGCTGAGACCTTGGAGAAGAATCCATTTAGGGTTTCCTCTCTTGATGTTTTTTTGTGCAATGTGCATATTGACAGGGAAGTATACGCTAAGAGGCCAAAAGCCGAGAGCGCCAAGGAGGCCAAGAACCGCGTTGAAGAAGGGAACAAGCATTGCCACCAGTGTTGTCAAGAGTATGAGACATGAGCGAAGAACTAGCTTGGAGAGGGTGAAACTTAGAGGGCTTGATGCGCTGAAAGGTACCCTTACTGAGTAAGTTTGATGCAGAAATTTTGCTTCTGGCCAACGTTTTGAAATTGTGCTTTCAAAACGGCCAAAGATTGGTTGAGCATATACCTACTCAACAACCACTTGTTATCAAAGCCTGATCAAGACATTCTTGCCAAAAATTGAAAAAAAATGTATTATGCTAATCATTTTTCATTAAGTTTTAATCATTTTCCTTTCTATTATGACCTAATATATGCATGTATATACCCATTAAAATTGTACTAGAATTTATCAATTGATTGAACTAAATAAAATTAGGACACCAACATAATTTCCTTACTTGATATGCTCCTAAAAGATGGACAACAATGCAAATATTGGCAATGTCTACCAACCAAAATGGCTCAAAAAATCCAAACCCAGTGAGAATATTGCCAGGGGCATTGTTCCCAAAAGCTCCATAGCCAGTGCAACCCAATGATAGGTAGAAGATTGTTGTGAGCCCAATTCCTATAAAAGTTGCCCTCTTCATTGTCTTCCTCTCAGGAGGTGGTGACTTCAATGTATCCTAAATTGCAACAATATAACATAGAATTAATTTCCATCTCATTTCAATTGGAAATCAACCCACCATATTTAATTGAAAATGTATTTACTTGAATCTCAATCAAGACATCAGCAAAAGTATAAGCAAAGGCCACATTTCCTAGTGATAGAAAAGCATTCCATGTCTTGATTTTGTGCGAAGACCCTGCGACGCCAGATAAAGTACCTTTGAACCCACCGTGGGAGATTAGTTTGCCTGTCGATAACCCGAGTCCGATGAAGGAATATGCAAAAGATGTCGCCACGGCCACTACTGACAACCATGTGATGTTCTCTAGACTGGGGAATTGTGATAAGACAATTTGCACCACCCCGAATAACATCATGAATAGGTTTCCTGAAGACTCACACTTCCATTCATGCCCGTTGCGGTGGAAGCAATTCGATCGCTGGACCGCCCTGTCGATTGATGATTTAGAGATCAATCTTTTTCTCTTTCTTCATACTTACAATTATTTTATGAAAATTTATGGAATGTTTATGCAAAATGGTTTGTACTTACATCATGCTAATGGCAGCAGTGATGGTATAACCTACAAGAGTGCCCCAAAGATTTATATATTGAGCACATCCACATAAGAAGACCTCTCTTGGACCGAGATAGGCTCGGACTGCATCGATGTAGACTCGATTGATTGTCCCGGTGATTGGGTCAGGATGACGATAGCAGTCAGCAAGAAGGGTAGAGGTGTAGTAGGTGATGATGGCAAACCCAAGGATGACCAACGGGCCAAGAACCCAACCCAATTGAGCCATGCTCCATGCCAGCGCTAGCACGCCTGACCCAATCACCGCAGCTACAATGTGGGCTGATGCTGACCATACCGTGCCTACAAATAGAAATGAATTTAAAACACAAGCATGCTTGATTTTGATTCTAAGTTGCAATAATTTGAAAGAAAAATATTAAATCAACCAATCAATTTTGTAATTATAGAAAAATTGATGATGGAAAAGAGCATTTATGGTGTAAAGCAAATGAGGCTTTCAAAGAAAATTATAATTTGATTCCAAAATAGTCAAAACTAATCTAATGAGGTAATGGTTCCTTGAAAAACAATAAGAAATCAGTAAAACATATAAAATGAAGGGCCATATTTTAAACTTATAATCATTTAATAAGAAATTGAAAAAGAAAAAAAATCTAAATATTGACATAGATTTTTTATGTTATGATATAAGCCAGAATATCAAAATTAGAAGAGAAATAATTAATAATAAGGGCACATTGAGTTTATTTTCTCTAATTTCAAATATAAAACTTATAATCAACTGCTTCAAATCAATCAGTTGTAAGAAAACAGTTGGACTTCCACTAGTTACTTGATCACCGTTGTCAAATCTTTCGCCGGCCAATCGCCTCCCTCAAACCACCATCGCCCGACTACGGACCCTCGGACTATCGTCGCCTGACTACGATCCTTCCGACTATCTCGCCTGACTATGATTCGACCGAAAAACACATAATTAATTGAGTAATCAAGAAACTTATACCTTTTCTTTCATGTTCACCTTCTTCAACATCCTTTCCAGTTCTTCCCCTCTCCATATTCTCTAAGACAGTAACAGAAGAGAGAGACTATTTAAAAGAAGAAAAAAAAAGGAAAGAATGCGTTGCAGAGTGTGGGAGGAGAGAAATATATAGTGGTGGGCTTTGTCAACAAAATAAATGAAGACTTCATTAAATATAATCGAGTATTAGACTCTTTAATCACTTCATTAGATGATAATTAATAATACATTTCTTCCAAACAAAAATGTGAAGTGGGCCTACCCAACAATTATTGTTTCCCTTTGGGAAAAGGCCTTCATATAAGTATCTATGTTTGATATAAAAAATGAGAATAAAGAAGATGGCGCATATAATTAATTTTTTTGAAAGTTTATTATGGTACATAATCAATTGGCATATAAAGTTTATTAAAGTTTAGCAAAGGATTATGGGCCAGCAAATAAATAAGCTACACTAAAGTTTCGTTTGAGACGACTTTCTTGCTGCTTTTTAAAGTAGTTTTTTAGTACGAAAATTTCTTGAACGAGAAATTTTTGTACTAAAAACTGTTTTAGAAAGCAGTACGAAAGCTGCCCCAAACGAAGTCTTGGGTAGCTTTTAGGCATTAATTTTTTGTTACTTTCAAGAAATTTTTGTATTAATAAAGCAGCAAGAAAACTATCTAAAAGACTTTGTTAGGGACATGTTTAGATCACTATTTTTTCATACTTTCTAGATATTTTTGTACTAAAAAAAGCTTTATAAAGCAATAAGAAAGCCATTTCAAATGAAGCCGAAGACATTTTAAAGGATAAAAATATATTCTCAATATTTTATTAACTAAAAAAAAAGAATAAAATCATTTAAAGATGCAAGAGGTTAGGCCATATTCCAAAATAGGTTAATTAGAATATACAAAGAGTAAATATGGTTCTATCTCATCCATATCTTACTCAACCCGCAAAATGCAATAAAAATATAAATAATCTAAATCGGAAAAATTCCAAAATAGTCTCCAAACTATTTGTGTGTATCAATTTCATCTCAGAGTATTACGTTACTCCAGTTTAGCCCATCGACTATATAAAATTGATCCAAAACAATCTCTTATTTTGTAATTGTGATATGAAATTTATTCTAATTTGGTTCCTCGACTATTTAAAAATGGCCCCAATCTAAATTGAAAGGGACTATTTTGGATCAATTTTGTATAGTTGAGAAATTAAATTGAGGCAATCTGATATTCTAAGACTAAATTAACAATATACGAATATATGAGTAATCTAAATGATGACAAAGCAAATTATTCTCTTCATGTGAAGGAATATAATTTTATTATAAAATTAATCATAATGATACCACTTAATAATTTAAATTTAAAATATAAAATTAATAAATTAGCAATAATTAAGGGTGAGTACTATGACTTGCTAATTCTCTAATGGCTGCGTTAGAAGTATATATTCTTACTTTAACTTATAATAGTAATAATATGATAATAATAAATCAAATAAATATTGGATGGGTAAAAGTGTAAAACATAAAATAGCAATAACTCAAGTAAAAAAAAAAAAACATTGGTTTCTAAGAAGCAAATTCTTTCAAAGTAAATAATTTTTATTGCAAATCATTTTAATATGGTAATTTACTTTCATAGTTGACATTCATGCACACTTCTAAACATTTAATAGCGAAATAAATTGACAATTAAGCAATGATCGAAGATTATTATTTATATCAAAATATTCAAATATGCTTATAAAATTAACAAACATATGAATTTAACTTAAAAGTAGAAGGGAGGAGAGAGAGAGAGAGAGAGAGAGAGAGAGAGAGAGAGAGAGAGAGAGAGAGGTTAAGTCTCAATTATTATTTAAGTAAATCGATCTACAAAAAGTTGCTTGAACTCCCTTTAACATAGAATGGCAAGTTGAACAAAGTTACAAAGAGAAAATTGAAAGAAAGAAAAAAAGATTTTAAAGGAAATCTAAGAGAGATTTCGTGGGAAATCTTAGAGAGGTTATGAGAGAGACTTTGATGTGACAAAGTTTTGTCTTAAAGTTTAAGATTGCATGTATGTTTGCACTTGATCAGTATCTTTGTATTTATGGTGAGGGATAATGTCATTGCTATAGAAATATCTATGTAGTTTGTTTATATAAAGCACATAATTTGGTCTTATTATAACTAGCTATATAGTGGGCAAATATAGCTTGTAGTAGACTACTAGTTACGAATTTCAAGAAAGTTCCATAGAATGGGTGATTGCCTTTAATGATCTAACTAAATGATTTTCACTTTATGAGTACCTCAGACAAGTAACAAATTTCTTAGAAGAATAGTCTTAAGAAATTTAAAAAATTGTGAATTCCTCGGGTGAATTTAATAGCTCAATATAAAGGGTTTCTTGTACTAATGAAGTTTTTATTGTGAAAACCTTTATTGGTGAGAAGGTTGCTACTAAGGGAGCTAGTACTATGATGATGAGATTTATAATTGAAACTCCTCAATAAGTAGAAAAGAACATAAAACATAGCACTTCAAGGTTATCTTTTATGGAAGAGATCAATTAGTATTTTGTAGATTATAAGTTTGACACACCTCAAAATAAAGTTATGATCTATAAGTTGATATTACACATCCGAAGGAGAAAATGAGGTAACTTTTTAGAAGCTAATTAAGCTAACTTCAATTAAATGCGGGGAAGAGTTCCAAAAAATCACCCAAATAGAGAAGGAATGTGCAAAGAGTGATGTATAGTCAACTTATTAGGAAGTTCCTATTAAAGGAAGAATCTCTTTTATGGAGAGTGTTGTGAGTAGCAACTTGCATGCTAATGATACTAATGTCACAAGTTGTGTTGACCATCACTTGGTCATGGTAAAAAGACTTATGCTAATGTCACTAGTGGTGAATAGGAGTTAAATCCCAAAGATATTGAAGACATCACATCTTCTATCTCAAGCTCCTATTAAAAGGATTGAAGATTATTAGGTGACTGCTTCCACAACAAATTGCCTAGGGTGGATAAAGGATGACGAGCCTTGAAAATAGATTTGAGGATTTTCTTTTTAACTTGGATCTTTGAAGAAGTTCATAAAATCTTAAGGATAGCTTGAAGTCTGAGATGGATATAATGGTTGAGTAGATGAATTATGTTTCAAAGAAAATAACCATGCATGAATTGTGCGAATAAATTGATAGATAATGCTCAACAATGTAGAAGCTAAGCTATATTTGTCATAAAATCATTTAGACAATGAAGTTGGACCTTTCATTATAAAATCATACTTTATTGGGAAGCCACCCTTTACTATGAACTTAACCCTTAATTATAATGCCTATATTGATTGAGTCAAATGTGATATATTACTTAAACTTCAAAAGTTCTCACATTATGATAATAAATATTTCTTAATGATTTGGGTGTTAAACAAATAGTTATGGAGAGAATGTTAGTGAAATGGGTGTATTGATGTGAGTATGATGGTTAAGGTCTTCCACATATTTTGCATATAAATAAGATTTCTTTATTCTTGATTTCCTTACATTATCTTCATGCACTTTTTTTTTCTTGCTCTCATTGCACTCTATGTTTTTCTTGTGCCATATCTTCTTCTTCATCCTATGTTCTTTCTTCAAACCTTTTATAAAGTTATGGCAAATTCAATGATAAAAATTTCTACTAAGTTTGTGCAATCAAAGTGAAGATTTACTTCTTATATGTAGGAGAACAATATAAGCTTCTTTTTAAAGAGCTGCAACTTAGCAATGACTTTGTCAAGCCCCGGGATCTATAGTGAAAGAATTTTTTTTCTCAATTTCTATAGTGAAAGAATTTTTTTTCCCAATTTCTTTTTCAATCTTTCTTATCTTGTCAATTCATTCTATTCATTAAACAACCGTTGAAACTAGGTCAATATCAACATCCAAAGCGCTACAGAAAATTCACTGAATACCGGCGGTAATTCCCTTTTTCTTTTTCCCATTTCTATTTCCTATGTTGTTTATTTCGGTCTTCAAGCCGGTCAGAAATCCGCCGGAAGTTTTCATAACAGTTGAAAAATTGTTGGATTTCGTTGGAAATTGCCGTCGGTAATGGACGATTTTCCTGTAGTGAGTTCTCAACTCTAGAGCCACAACACTCACATATACAGTGCCGAAGCACTCTAGTTCAAGTACAAATAATCATTTGTCACTAAAATGATATATATATATATATATATATATATATGAAAAAAACGGTTCGACCGGTCGAACCGATCGAACCATGAACCTCTCATTCTTCCGGTTCGTTGTCCGGTCCGGTTTTCACAACCTTGATATATATATATATATGAAAAAAATATATATACTTTTACTTATAAGGTTGCCTCCCCTAAAAATTAAGGTCAGTTCCGCCCTTGAGATCGATACATTTTAATATAGTTTGTTTCTATTTGGGGGAGGTTTTCTGTTGTTACGGAAGGATTGTTTTTTTTTTTTTCAGACATCTATTTTGTTTTGTTGCAATTGTTGTACGTTTATCTAGATTTTCTTACATTTTAGCTGTATTGTATTTTTGTATTTTTTTATTATTTATGAAATTTGGCATGATTGTCCCTAATTTTTTTTTTAAAGTAGATTAGCGATATATATTTGGGAACCTTTGATGAGCCAATGCAATCTTTTATCTTTAATTCTTAATTCAAATACCATTTTTTATATGAATTAAATAACTCTAAATTTCTAACTAAATTATAGAAATATAAATACTCAAATAATCCATCCCATATTTCATTAATTAAGATTAACACTGAGCCGCCTTTATTGAATGAAACAATTAATTAAAATTTGAATAATCACCATAATTAGCCAGTGGGAAAGCAAGTTTAATTAAAGTGGCCATAATAGCCTGCCCTTAATTAATTACTGATATGGCTACCATTAAGAGAGACAGATTCTTTAATTATCGGATCATAATGTTTTTTCTTATAATTTCATAGTGTAATCTGCGTTGGAATCAGCTTCTCTCTTTTCAATATTCCGTTCTCTATAGAAAATTGTTAAATCCAAAGGCGATTAAAGTTAGCCATTAATACAAATAATGACTTAGCCTTAGGCTTCATTTGAGAGACACTGCTTAAATA